ACTCATTTCCATGATTTTGTAGGAGATTTTTGCGTGAGTAGTATTGGGGCATGCTCTCAAGTATTTTTCGACCCTCATACCCGCGAAGTTACTCATTTCAAAAGATGGTATATATATTTTTTAAGCCGAATGACAATATGTTTATAGCATTATACATTTTTACATTTTTTTTTTTGTGAGAATACTAATTATTTCATTTTTCTTGAGAGCAGGTTACGTTATGAAGATGATGATTAGAATATCTACATTTCCCCTTAATCTTCTAAAAATGTTTGTAATATGTTAACTTATAATGTTGGACTTTAATTAGTTTATTTCTTCTTATGCTATTTGTTTTTCGTGTAAGACTATGTTAATTTTGGAACCCATAACTCTATACAATATGTTTAGTTATCTCAAATCTTTAACACTTCGTTAATCCCTAAGTTATAATTCTTTTCATATTCGATAGTTGTCTATTTTTTAAAAATCGATTTTTACTTACAAACCCAAAACTTATATTTTATACGATTTCAATGTATTGTACTTTACACTATTGTAAAAGGTGAATAAAATTTAACACACATTACAAAAATTCTCATATAAAATGCGGGTGAGAATCTAGTCTAATAATAAATTATCTGTAAACGTCCAATAATCAAAATTGTATCGAGCTCTAAAATGACAACTGATAAAGAAAATAGTGTCCACGTAGGCGACTAAAGCTATTCGTATTTCGCAACCTAGTTCCATCCACCACTTGACCTCTCTTTCTCTATAATACGAAATTATTCATATATATCGAAAATGGAAATTCGATATTGATCCTAAACGAAAAAGGAATGGGAATTTTGAAATTATAGAGAATGGAAATCTGATATTTATCTCCAAGGGAAAAATGGAAATTCCCTTTTCTTGAAGAGGAGGTAATTCCGACCCTATATAAAGGGGTCAAGAGGTTCTCCTAATTCTCATTCACATCTCCTTCTCTCTCAAAGCATCAGAGCAAAGAAAACCCTAGCCTAAAAACCACGAAGAATGCCTCCAAGGGTGGTACGCGTCGAAGGAAGCAAGCTATGGATCTCCACGAGGGAGAATCCGGACTACACTCCACCACCAAGGATTCGTAGGCAGCAAGAACGAAGCCTTAGCACCGCATCATGCCCGGTGACCGATCGTTGGGCACGAAAGAGAATAGATGCACCGATTCCACCACGTCCGAGGCTAGACGTAATGCACACGCGGCCAGAGGTCATGAGGCAGCCACCCCAAGACCACGCTCTGAGCCTCCGTGACCGGGTCAAGGAAAGATCCGGGGTGTCGGCCAACCGCGACTAGCCAGAAGGTTGTGGGCCGTGGCAAGGAGGGCACGACAAGGGGCCGATGGGTTGGAGGCCACGGGAGGAGGCTACAGTGCATCCAAGGGAGAAAGTCATAGTGCACTGGCAGGAACGTTTAGGCGGGCTAACACAAGGCATGAGGCCCGTAGGAGAATACCATAGGGAGTTCATGCTGCTTAGGGACGCGGTCAAGTGTACCCTTGACCCCGATATGCTTGCCCGGAAGTTTTGGGATGATTTGAGGGCAGAGCTCCGAGAAGCCTTGGACATACGCCTTTACCCTACTATGCATAGGTTAGCCTCCGACGCAGCTCTACTTGAGAATACCGAGGATGTCTACGATCCCGCAAGAGGGGAAGATATGCCAACAGGACGGAGGGTAGCCCGTAGCGCCACCCTTGACATCCCTATACCATCTGCGCAACAGACCAAGGCTTTCAACAACGTGGATTACATATGCATGCCAAGGAAATGGCTAGATGCGTATCGAAGACAAGCCGACTTGAGCATCAAACAAGAACCAAGGAGCAGAGGACGAAGGATGGAACGGCTGGTTGGTAGAGTCGGAGGGTGAATCGGATGAGTGGAGCAGGGAGAAAGGAGAATGGCAGCGGTACATGGATAGTCCGCCAACGGCAACCAGCCCCGGCAGGAATGAAAGTGGCTAGAGGAGGCAAGCCACGGGCAACTTCGAGCTCGGTGTAGGTTTTCTTAGAATTTAGTGAGTTTTTAAATTTTCAGCTTAGGATTTCTTAATTTCCATGTTGCAATCTATTGTCACCTGGCTCAAAGAGTATTGGTTTTTTGTTTTACTGAATAATACAATATTTATTTTAGACTGAAATTTTAGGATGAGCATTGAGTTGAGTAAGAATGGGAAGACAACGCGTCTTAGCAGCTAGGCCCCTAGTGAGCCCAAGGGGTGCTCGTCT